CAAAACAAAAAAATATTTAAATGGGAAACAGGCTGTTATACCTGCTCAGGTATTTGATACATCTAACAACACAATTTACCTGCCAGATCAGGAGTTGCAAGTAACATACTGGGCCTTAATTCTTGTTATAATGTTTATGTGGTCATGAAATGTATGGAGAAATCCTGGTAAGCAAGTCAGGGGAGAACAAAACATGTGAAGGGGAAAACATTTAACTTTACATTTCTAAAATATTGTAGGTCCCTGAGTGTCATTACAACATTATGATTTTAAAGTGTAACACAGTCCCCCAGAATCACATTTGGGTGCTGAGATTCTTCAATTTACCTGTAAAAGAGTTTCTGCAGCGTTTAATGAACTGCTAAAGAAAATTAAGGGAACACTTTTAAAGTTCAAGTCCCCATGGCTGCTCATTCTGCTCATTACCAGCTATTTAGTATTTACTCTTAGGTACCTCTAGATCAGCTCGGTGCTCCTCATAACTCCAAATAGTCTGTCATTATTTCCAAATGATAAAACCAGAGAGCCTCTTTGTTAAAATAGGAGGATAGTTTGTGAACGCGCACAACTCCTGTTGCCGGTGTTGCGTCGCAAGTGGACAGCACAACGAACCACGATGGCATTAATTAATTTGAATTTCTCCTCCATAGATAGGTAAACAACAGTACATGTACCAATAAAAAGAGATGTGTAACACTCTAACCAAAGTGGGTAACTAAGAAACCCCATGTTTTAACTGGCATAATGCAGACATAGTAGCTCTTCTAGCCTTACAACAATTTTCTCTAACGTCACAGAAGCCATTAACAGACACGCAACATGTTTTTTTTTTTTTTTTTTTAATTACCATTAAGTCCCACAGAGTAGTGGAAACATCGCTCCCTTTCAAGTAGCTCCAAGGTCAGTAAATCCAACCGGTGGTCGCTGCGTCTTCCCCCATACGACCACATACAGTCCCAAAGTAGTGAAATTAATTCCAACAGGTAGCGTAGCACCGACAATAACATCATGGATTGTTAATCTGCTGGTTAACCATCAACACATCACATGTGACAGACACACTGGCCTCAAGCAGTCAAAACAAACAGGTACTGTGCTCCGGGGAAATCTAGTGTTGATAAGCTTATCACCGCCACGGGGGCTTCATTGTCCGGCTGCTTCGAGGTTGGACCCGGTCAGGTAAAACGGCGAGTCCCTGTACAGGACCATTCCTGGACATGCAGTAACCTCAGGCCCTGTATTTGGCCCTGTATTTGTCTCCACAGCATCTGGTTACAGTGCAGCCGCAGGAGGGAAAATATATCCACAAAACCAGATGCAGTTGAAAAATTCTGCGCAACAGCTTGGAGATTATGACCATTCAAGGAGATCCTTAAACTGTCATGTATTACTTTATATTGATAGAAAATACAGTAGGTCTTGCGAGTGAGAGTTTGTGAGACATGTATAAACAGCTGCTTCTGCATAGAAGTACTGGAACATATGCACACTTCACTTTTTGAGCTTTAGGTCACATCTAAGATGATAATTCACTGTTGTAAAAAAATAGAATAACCATGCAGTGGGCTCTTTTAAACCTCAGAGGTATCATTATGTCCAGGCCTTTTGTGCTTAATCTGCTCCAGTGGCATCATGTTGATATCTTTTAGTTTGCTGTTTTATATTTATATTTGATATGGAAGCCTTCCATTAGCCTTCGAGTTATAACTTGTTTTTGGTCGTATTGCTTATGTTGTTTTATTTAATTCTTATACGTTTTGTGAAGCACTCTGGGCTCCCATGGTGTTGTAAAGCGCTATACAAATAAAGTAGTATTATTTTATTTAGGAAGCATAAGTGATTGTGAATCGGTTTCACCTGCTTTGGTACAAATGAAGGTGACCACAGATGCAGTGGAGGCAAAAGCAAGACATAGCCACCAGCAATGAAGTCAGAGCCACTGTCAGACCTTACGTTGGCACAGCGGGCCCTGGGTTCCTCCTGGTACAGGACAATGCCTGGCATCGTGATCAGAGTGTGTAGGCAGTTCCTGGATGACACTGACTGGTCCTCACGCTCTCCTGGCCCAAGTCCAACTGAGCACCTATGGGACATTATGGATTGGTGCATCCGATATCACCAGGTACAACCACAGACTTTCCAGGAGCTCAGTGACACCCTGATCCAGGTCTGGGAGGAGATCCTCTGGACACTATCTGCTGTTTTATCAGGAGCGTGTACAGACACGGGGCCATACACTCTTCTGAGTTACTGTGATAAAATTCACACAACCTGAATGAACATGTGATTTCAATGTTTCACTTTGATTTTCAGTGTGATTTTTGAATCCATGAACATGCAAACTCCACACAGAAAGGCACTGGGTCATCTGGGCCGCGAACCCAGAACCTTCTTGCCGTGAGGCAACAGCACTAAGCACAATACACACTAATGATGAGTTTGGTTTTCACTTACCGTTGTTCTGCCATTTTGTTCTGAACAATTTATGCAATGTACATTAGTGAAGGTTTTCACCTTGAATAATTCTTTCATCAAGATCTGATGTGTGATTTAAGTGTTCCCTTAATTTTTTGAGCAGTTTATATCCTGGGCAAGTTGAAGGTGATTATTTCCATACTTACCCTGTTTGGCACTAATGTAGGTATGACTGTGGAGACCACCCACTAAACCCAAAGTCTCTCACTAGTGGAAGCTCATTTTCTGGTATTTGGTATTTTCTATTTAATTGTTCTCAGAGAAATGGCTGAGGTTTTTTTTGTTTGTTTTTTTTGTACAGAGTGATTATATTTGCTGGCTGTACATTTCCTTCAAAGGTTATAGTGATAGGATGTACCTGATTTAAACTCCAAGGCACATCACTTATGATTCATGTGAGGACTATAATTTTGGGTGTTTCCTTAATGTTTGTTGTGACATTAGCTCCAGCGGAAGATGGAGGAGAGACGATTAAGGCTACAAGAAGAGGCCAACAGGTACACCTTAGACCTCCACAAGCATTTGGTTATACTGCCCACCTTTAGTTACTAACTAGATCTGTTTTGAGTGCCATGGGTGCCTCTGCACGGACACCCAGAGCTGCTTTACTCCCTTAGTTCACAAAGCAATCCAGCATTTTGTTGTTTTGTTGTTTTCACAACAAGTTCTGGCCAACTGGATTTAACTAGATAATGTTAGGCCAGGGGTGCCCACACTTTTTCGCTTTGCGAGCAACTTAAGTCAAAATGATCGTTCTGTGCGCGCGCACACAAAATAAATGTATGAATGAGTGTCGTAGTTTTTATGAACAGTCTGAAAGTGCCGCTCCACATTTCCCTTCGGAATAGTAGATTGGTAGATCAAGCAAACGCATTTCGAATATAATGTCGCCAAAAAAAGTCCTCCCATTCCACGTGGAATGTTTTCGGTTTCTTACTTGATTGGACTCCCCCACTCATTTTATACCCTTTAGTAGACATTAATTCGAAGGCTGCCAAGTTCACTCACTGGAGTTTTGCAGTAGCTCGTGCTGTTGACTGTGCATGTTTGGTGACTCGTGTGTCAGAAAAGACGAGATCTCAGACTGGCTGCCCTGCATGTCAATCAAGTAGCAAATGCCATAGGGAGGATGGATGATGGGCTCTATATGAATGACTGTCACTTTCTGCTTTTGTTGTTAGGGGTCGCCATAGCGAATCATCACACTGACCATTCGCGTGTAAACATTTGGCACGTGTTTTACGCCGGATACGTTTAATTTATTTTTGAATGGCACGCGATCTACAGATCGACGTATTGGGCGCCCCGCACCCTTGTGTTAGGCTTTGTTATTTACTTAGTAAACGGATATGAAGCTACACATGCTGCATATAGTATAGTATAGTCTGCCTTTAAAAGGCCGTTAACAATTCAACAGCTTGCTTTCCCCTAAATTTAGTGTAGGGTTTTTCATGTCCCAAAATTAATGTCCCTAATTTTTTTTACACAAATTGAAGTGTATTTGAGAGGCCCCTTAGAGAACTTTAGTATTATCTGTTTGTGTTTGTGATCTTGGTGAACGTAGCAAAGTGTTTAGTCAGTTTTGGGAGTCGTTTAGAGCTACACAGTTACGAGAATGGTTCAGTATTACATTTGCTCTTTCACCAAAAGCACGTGCAGAAGTCAGAGGGGGGTTGGGGGGGCTGATGCACATTTTCTAATTAGAAATTAAGTTATAATGTGAGATTTGATGGTGTAGTACATGTACTGTATATGGCATTCAAATTGTGTCTAATTCATTTTTTATAGACACATATTTACAGAAAAATTATTGTGTGTAGTCTTAACAATTCAGTTAATATTTTTAAATAAATTGATGGATGCAGGTTTCATGCTGACACATTAGAGCATCAGTAACTGAGGGTGGTACTTCTCAAGATGCAAGTACCATGTATCTGCAAGTATGGATATACATCATTTATTGTCTGTGTTTGTCATTACAGGAGATTTGCAGCATCTGGTGGAATGACTGCAGAGGAGCAAGAGCAGCGTACTCTTTATGCCAGTGTACTGGAATATGAACAAGACCATGTGCGTAAATGCACTAAAAACAAAATAATAATGACAGGATGACTTGTTGGCAGAGCTCATGGTGATGCCTGGAGATGTCAAACAAATTTAAGTATTCACTATGACTGTGTGAAATCCTCAAAGGCAAATGAGTCTACATGTTGTGGTTTCTAATAAATCGTGTTTTTACAGAAGCAAAGAAACCTGCTGTTGCATTTGGCATTGATCAAGTTTATGTTGATCAGTTAAAATGATTCAACTAATCAACATTCTAATATGAAATTGTTGATGTGGTTGCCATAAAGTTATTTACATGTTTTTGTGTCTTTAGGACTGGCCCAAACTGTGGAAAGCCAACATGAAGGAAAATCCTGACATGGCATTAGTGCCACGTCTAGTCTCCTACCTGCTCAGGTAACTGACTGCAATGTGAGCACTTTAAATAAGGTCAAAGCTAATATATGTGACATTTGTTATAAAGTTGCATCACCAAAACAGAACAGTTTATAGGATGTGTGTTTGTCAATCACTTAAACTGTGTTACTACTAAAGTTTACACTTATCAAGTTTAATTATACTTATCTGCAGTTTGTTCATTATAGAACTGTACTGAAATGTGTCATGCCGAGTAACTCTAGTCATGGGTTCTTTCTTTTTCCTGACTTCTTTTGTTTTCTGTCCTTCATGGTTTGAGTGCCCCCTAGTCAGAACGTTAATGTTGGCACAAGTATAAATGCAACGGCTACACTACCATCTCAGAACAACACTGTATATGCTTGTACAGCCATCATAACTACACATTTCTTGCTGTTTGTTTTAAGTCATCACACAACAGATTTTTCTGGATGAGTTAAGAAGGCCTACATAGTCTATGCTGTGTAGTGCATTAGCCTCCCTGTCAATACAAGACAGTTCAGAAGTGTTTGTTTACTTTAGAGATAACTCAGGTAGTGTGACTCAACAGTCTCACTTAAAATAACTATACAAAACGGATAATCAGGGAATGTGTTTTGTGTGCATAAGTGTGCACTGTTACTAGAGGATTGTACACTGCATTGCTCCTAAAGCTAAAGTTTTCTTAACACAGTAACATGTAGTAGCACTCACTGTGCTCGTGGTGTATTGTTTTTTTTGGTCCTCCTTGCTCCAGGTTGGTCAAGCATCACAAGGAGGTAAAGACAACACAGTTAAAATGTATAGTTTCTTTAACCTTTATCACTGATGTTGCTTGAACCTTGAAAATGCTTGAATTGTGATGTTGTGTTTTCAAGGTTGTAAAAGTGCTTGATTTTTGGATAAATAGCTTGGAAATGCTTGACATTGTATTTCTTTCACAACAAATAGCTATCTGAATAGTTTTCATATTAGTTGGATAAGTAAAATAAGGACGACTCCATCGTTGGTCTCGAGCTGCTGGTGGAGTCTGGCACCGTGTTGGATGTTCTGTGAGCCACCCAGTACCTGGGTGCGGGAGACGTGGCTCTGACCATTTGAACCAGCGCGCCTGGAGTTGGCCATGCTGGGAGATATCTGTAAGGGGCGCAAAGTCACCACCATCCGGGACGTGGTGTCTGTCCTCCAGCGTGGCATGCTATCGGAGGTGGAAAGACTCAGAAAACTGTCTGTTGCTCCTGATTTCTGTTGCAGCATCCAAGCGATCTTTTTCTACACCGTGTAGGCTGCACAGCACCATGATGCAGGAAAAGCTCATCCACTTGGCACTAATGACCGCTCACAGTGACTTATTGAATGCGATCGATCTTCCCATCCTTATAAGCGCCTTTATTAGAAGAAAGACCACTTGTGGATGCGCATAAGTAGCGAACTAAAAATGGTTTCAACAACTGGCAAATCTTTTTTTCTTAGTTTGTTGTGATGCCGTTTTATGTGATTTATTGATGTTCAAGGTTACCAGAAATTTTTAAATTCAAGACTGAAATACAAACACATCACCTGTTCTGAGTATCTGAATCTTACTTTCAGATTTTCTTAATAGCTAGCAACTTGGCACAACTGAAAACGTAACCAGTTTCATCCATACAGCAGCAAAGTTGTCACCGCCCCCACTCCACAAATCCTTGCTTTATATTTTCACGTTTTGCAGTCTGCAGTATTAACCTGGTTTCTCTGGGAACACCTGCGGGTTTCACTAATACCTGGAAGAATCATCACCCTCCCTCCCTGTTCCTATGCAATGTGTACACTGTTCACTACTCCAGTAGACAAATGTGTATACGGTATGTCTTGGCATTGGAAAAATAAATGGCTTTAAGGGTACATGTTTATATAAAGGAGATGAACAATAATAGTAATGATCACTGTAGATGAGATGAAGTTAGAAAAGAAGAAATGTTTTTAGATTTTATCAGGCAGGTGCTTGTACACAGTCAGTCTTCTGACCTGAAATGACATGACAGCTGCAGATGTTCTTTGGCTAAGCCTGTCCATCTCAGTGCTACTCTCCATGTCTTACTGTGTGTCATGTTATTACCACAAAGAGATTAAACACAGTTTAGGACTTCTACAGTAACACATACAGCAGCATAGTAGATTGACAAATATACTTTTCTACATCTGAAAATTGTATTGAGAATAAACTATTTTGGTGTTATTTAGGAAAGAAGCATCAAGATCCAATGAATTTATTGAAGGTTTTATGTCAAGTGATATTTTTTTTGGGGGGGGGGTAATTGTTTTATATTGACTCAGTCAGGCTAGATAGAAAGCAAACTCTACTTACAGACAGGTGGCACGTCTTTGGTTGTGTATAGCATTATACCATCTCTTTTAATGTGACACCGTGAATCATTTTGAGCATGTATATATTTGTAACTTTCCCAGCACCTCACAGCTGTGGTAAGCTTGAAAACTGACATTGGAAAAGGTATATGACATGGAGAGTAGCACTGAGAGGGACAGGCTTAGCCAAAGAACATCTGCAGCTGTCATGAAAACTGACATTGGAAAAGGTATATGAACCCTGTAGGCCAAATGAGGACAGACTAATGTTTGTCCTGTGTCCTCAGCCAGTCTGACCATCCTGTGGTGAAGCTGTTGAGGAAACACCAGTTTCGGATTTACAACAGACTCTACCCCATTGTCAGTAAAGGCCTCCCCCAGAGTCCTGCCCTGCTGCTGAGACCTTCTCACAGTACTCACAACCTGCTTCACTCAGGTAAGGTCAGAACCTGGCATTTGGCGTAGCAGTGTTCAGTATATGTACCAAGGAGTCATTAACCATGAAACTTTAGACTGAAGTAACTGAACCACCATTGTCTCTGAACAAAATGGATTTTACAGTGGTGCGTCCCTCGCTGCAGTAAACAGTGCTTTATGTTGCTTAGTACTGAATTGAATGTTTTGCCGTTTGAACATGAAACGGACTGAAAGTAACACTGAGCTAAAGACAGACTGGTAAAGCTTCACTTGCTGTGGTTGTATAAACCGAAGTGCATTTGAAGAGTGATTACAAAGCTTATCTTAGGACAAAAGCGAGCAGCCTGTAGTGAATACACATCTTTGAACTGAACAGAATGACCCAAATCTAAATGATTTGTTACTTCCAGTTTTTATTATTTGAGTTTGTTGGTTATGAATAAGCTTGGTTCACATGTATCTCAGCTCCCTTCTTTGGCTGTTTGTGGCAGCCAGTTAGCTGTTTAATTTAGTTAGGGAATCCAAAGTAGATAATATGAAAAATGAAATATAGATATTATCTCTGTTTGTGTTCAGCCATCAAGTGAATGTAAAGTTCTTTTTTTTTTTTTTTAGTGCAAAATAAACGGGTTATGCACAAATGACTGTTCTCACTGTAGAAATGCTGGACATTTTGTAAACTTTCCCGCCCGTACTTTTGACCAATCTCCCTGTGTGATTTTTGGAAAAAAACCTACAAGCATGTTTTCACTTGGCCATTATTGGTTATTGAGTATGATCGATGGACAAACCTGGCAGTTTAATCTATTTAAAATTACATTTGCAATATAGTGTGGAAAAGGCCAAGGGGTCTGAATAATTTGAGGCAGTGTCTGTACCGTAGGGGCTCTGTTCACTTTACGTCCTGAACACCAGTCCTAACAACAAAGCTGCACTGCTGTGTTGGTGACACGTGCACTTCTTTCATGTTTAGTGCCCGTATTTATCAACCCTACTTTTCCTAATTACCCATAATAAAACTGTATATTCTGGGGGAACAATTATTTTCAAATAAATCCTTCAGTCTGCTTTCACTGTCACTCGAGTCGTGTCTGGATCCATGTGGCTACTAAATCCAGTAAATCAAGGACCATGTAGTTCACAACCACTTAGTGGACGTGTTAGTACTGTGGTAACGTCTTCCATTGACAGTAGCGCCCTCTATGCTTGGGGCAATTACTTTGTGTGCCGCTGATAAGTTCTACTTCTAAGAACAACTGTGACGTCAACGTTTTATGACAGAGTATACTGATGTGGTGTCGTTTTTCTGACAGTCAGGGTTTGTAGTGACAGACAGCGGAAAGTGAAATGCTGATGTCAGCACCACTTGTCAAACGGAGGCTTTATGTGCACAGTACTACAGCCTTTAATGAACGAGTTATTGTCTTTTACCAGCTTCCTGTCTGTGCACATAAAGCCTCCGTTTGACAAGTGGTGCTGACATCAGCATTTCACTTTCCGCTGTCTGTCACTACAAACCCTGACTGTCAGAAAAACGACACCACATCAGTATACTCTGTCATAAAACGTTGACGTCACAGTTGTTCTTAGAAGTAGGACGCTTCAAAAATAACTTTAAAGTCCTACTCTGAGGTAGCACTTTTTTAGTTCTAAGTTAGCTTTCAGCTTAATTCATAGGAGTGATTCTGGGATGCATTATAAGTACGGGCCAATGTGTTGAATTTGAGAAAGTGTATGTTCTTCTTGCCAAAACTTGAGTACGCTATATTATCTACAGTCAGGGAAAAAATTACTTGAACCCCAGCTGATTTTGTAAGTTTGTCCACTAACAAAGAAATGATCAGTCTACAATTTCAATGGTAGGTTTATTTGAACAGTGAGAGACACAACAATAACAAAAAAATCCATAAAAATGCATTACAAAAAAAGTTATACATTAATTTGCATTTTCATGAATGAAATAAGTATTTGATCCCCACAGAAGCAATCAATCCAGATTCCAAACTCTTCACCATGGCCAAGACCAAAGAGCTTTCCAAGGATGTCAGGGACAAGATTGTGGACCTACACAAGGCTGGAATGGGCTACAAGCAGAATGGCAAAGGCCCAGCCAATGATCAGCTCCAGGATGATCAAAGACAGTCTGGAGTTACCTGTAAGTACTGTGACAGTTAGAAGCCGTCTGTGTGAAGCTAATCTATTTTCAAGAATCCCCCGCAAAGTCCCTCTGTTAAAAAAATGGCACGTGCAGAAGAGGTTACAATTTGCCAAAGAACACATCAACTGGCCTAAAGAGAAATGGAGGAACATTTTGTGGACTGATGAGAGTAAAATTGTTCTTTTTGGGTCCAAGGGCCACATGGGTCATGTTGTGAAAGTGTTGTGGTCAGATGAGACCAAAATCGAGCTCTTTGGCTGCCTATGACTCCAAAAACACCATCCCCACCGTCAAATATGGAGGTGGAAACATTATGCTTTGGGGGTGCTTTTCTGCCAAGGGGACAGGACAATTGCACCGCATCAAAGGGAGGATGGATGGGGCCATGTACCGTCAAATCTTGGGTGAGAACCTCCTTCCCTCAATCAGGGCATTGAAAATGGGTCGTGGTTGGGTATTCCAGCATGACAATGATCCAAAACACATGGCCAAGGCAACAGTGGATTGGCTCAAGAAGAAGCATATTAAGGTCATGGAGTGGCCTAGTCAGTCTCCAGACCTTAATCCCATAGAAAATCTGTGGAGGGAGCTGAAGGTTCGAGTTGCCAAATATCAGCCACGAAACATTAATGACTTGGAGAGGATCTGCAAAGAGGAATGGGTCAAAATCCCCCCTAAGATGTGTGCAAACCTTGTGGCCAAGAAACGTCTGACCTCCAACAAAGATTGCCAACAAAGGTTTTGCCACCAAGTACTAAAGCACGTTTTGCAAAGGGATCAAATACTTATTTCATTCATGAAAATGCAAATTACTTGAGAACTTTTTTGTGATGCATTTTTCTGTTTTTTTTTTTTTTTTTGTTATTGTTGTGTCTCTCACTGTTCACATAAACTTACCATTGAAATTGTAGACTGATCATTTCTTTGTTAGTGGGCAAACTTACAAATTCAAATAATTTTTTCCCTGACTGTATTTCATTACATTAGAAGAAGTACAGAAGTTTGAGATGGTTTGGCTCTGTCAGGTAAAAAGGTACTGGAGATGCTTTTCCAAAAGGAAGATAAGTCAACAACCATAATGTCCATGTAGACAAGCTGTAACTATTCCCAGCCCCAGATTACTGTAAATCATTATTGTGTAACAGCAGTGTGTGCTACATTAGCATTAATCTGATTGTGAAAATTGTATGGGCCATACAGAAACCCAGAGGAAACCAATTAGGACTGTGAGCACTAGCAGCCAGAGCTTCAGCACCTACTCATCCCTCTCTTCCTTGGTCTCTCACAACCTCCACACCAAACACAACAATGAGGAAGGGGAGGAACCTCACCCACTGGTGACGGTGGACCGGGAGAACTCCTTTGAAGATTTGGAGCAGTTTCTGACTCAGTTGGACTGGGCTTCTGCTCACGACAGCACCGATGACACCATCTCAAATTCAGAGCTCCCCTGTGATCCTCTGATTCTGGACGAGGGTCACATCCAGGAGCTGGAGATGAGAGTGCTGAAAGAACACCTGAAGGCCATTGTCAAAGACATTCATATTGCAATTGGTGAGCATTATGACAGAGAGTGGATGTTTGTACGTTTGCATGTGTAGTCAATGTCTTACAATATTGTTTATCAGCTGCAAAAATTTTCTGTTGCTGTTAAAAGAAAGTTGATGAATATCAAATGATGGGAATGTATTTTATATTTCAGATCAGCTTCTGTCACTGTGTCTGCTGTCGTTTGAGTGTCTAAACACAGCAAGCTCTAAAGACCTGTGCCTTTCCAGCATTGAGGAAGCCTTCTTCACTCCCCTGTGGCACGCCCTGCTGGCTCTTTTCAGGTACTGCAGCTTAATTCCTTGTCTTAAAACATGACCTCATGCCTTAAAAAGTCACTAAACATGGAACAGTTCTTACTGCTTGATTACAGTATGAGTTTACACAACACTGCAAAAAATGTTGATTATCAGTGAGATGTGCTGAGTGTTTTTGACAGTTTCAAAATAGGAAATTACCATGGAGTCAGTGCTAGTTTTTATAGTAAAATTAGCATTGCAGGATGACTTACTAACAGCCACAACACTGGTGGGTAAACTTTGGGGAGTTTCCACTCTCTTGCCTTGTCTCAAACTTCATCTGGGCTGATATGATGCACAGTCTTGACTACCAATCAAATCATTGCAGACTCTTCCTTGGTGATGTGTGTAACAAGCCTTTGCAGGCAATTGGCTCTCACATTAACAAGCGATAGTGTCAGACAGTCAGAAAAAAACAAATATTTAAAAAAAACTTTGTGGAAAAAATTAACGGTTAAGTCAATCTCTTAAATTTTGCTCTTGGCATCATGGTGGTTAAAAGAGTTGAACAGGAAATGTGCATATCATAACCCTGGTTTCACTCACTTTATGCTGTCATACTGTTGCATAAAGGCAAAAAACTTCACAAAGTCATGACTGCTTTAGAAAATGACTCACTAGTATAAATTATACACAAACTGTATCCATTGAACTTAGGGTGTGTGAAGCCACCCCAATGGGCCTTTTTTTATTTTATGCTAACCACTGCACCACCGCGTTGCCCTTACTGACTTTCAGTAAATGTGCATGTGTTTCTTCCAATGTTATCACAGGAAATATTTGAATACCATCTGTAAAAGTGCCACACGTTACTTGTATTTCCTACACACAACCAGAGCTGCTTGGTCTCAGACTGTTTAGGCCTAAATTCTGATGCCTCTCAGGTGTGAGCTGAGGTGATTTGATTCTTTGGTTTTGTTGTTTTCTAGTTGATGGTGGCCCACCTGAAATATAAATTATGCAACATTAAGTTACAAATGACAGGCTGACAAAGAATAAACAAAGAATTATTTATCCTTTATTCTTCAGGCCTGAAATGTGTTTTCAAGAAATATCAATGAGGGAGGCAGTCCTTAGGTTTTAGATCAAGTTTTTAAGGGCTTCAGCCTTCAGTTTCTTTGCCCCCGTTTTCCCCATATTTGACATTTGAATAAGTCTTGTTGTCCATGTCACCGCTTGGCATGTGGTTTTGTCATCTGATTCTCTTTACCTGTCCTCAGGACAATACAGACATTCCCAAACATTTTTCTATGATGTCTCTGTCATCTTTCTCAGGAAAGTCAACAGGGAAAG